CATTTGTATTAAAAAATATTATATTTTCTCTTATAAGTAACTCTTCAATATCTATGTATTTTAATTTTCTTGAAAACTATTATATTTTGCTTGAAGGTGTTACTTATTAGCCAAAATGTAATACTTCATAATTGAATTCTTACTTAAAGTTGAGTTGTTACTTATCAAGTAAAGTTTAATAGTTTTGAATTAAAATTTAAAATATAATAATATTTAATATTTTGTATTCAAAATATAATACTTATGTATATAATTATACGCAAAGTAATATTTATATGCAATTGTGTATTACATGTATGTTTTAAAGTATTAAATGTATGGCTAAAAATATTAGTTATATCTGTAAATGTGTTATTTGATTATTCTGTTGTAGAAAATGAAGTTGACATAACTAGTTTACTTTAAGGCGTGAAAAGAAAAATACTTGATGAAACATATGAACTATATGTTAAATAATATAGTTGAGCTCTTGGATTTAATTAGTATTCATAAATCAACCATAATGATTTTGAGAGGTGTGATACTATTTTGGTTTTTAGAAAAAAGAGAAGTAATTGTTTATTCAATGCAAGTTCATATAGAAGCAAAATATAGAAATTTTAGTAAAAGAGAAAAAGGTCAAACTTTTAATTTCTAACAACTTGCTAACTGACATGAATTGGAACTTGACAATGTTTTGGCTTACAAGTTTAATTGCTTCTATTTGATATGATGTCATGGTCTGGTCCGTTTTCCCCTTATTGTCTACTTCAAAATAAACATTAATTATATACCAACTCAGTATTTTGATGTTACTTGATAGCTATTGGAGATGTGGTCATTTGAAATTATGGTTAAGCTCTCTAGTCTTCTTCCAAATCGAGAATTACAGACTTTCGTTCACAATCTACTTAGAACATTAAATGATGCATTCAATTTCTTGAACTGAAGTCTGAACACCATTTACAACAATGCATTTTTAACATGCAATTCACATCATCAACGGTTTGAACAATTTCATTGGGCTGGGGGAGGTCAATTACACACATATAGCTCCACTTAATGTTCATACGTAATATATGGGATTATGCTTACAATGCAACAACAACAACAACAATATACAAGTAGTTGAGTATGTGTCTTCCATGATGCCTATTTTGGCTTTTATCAAACTTCATTGATGGACTCTAAGATGTGCTTTTAGGTTTGTTTCTATAGAAGAAAGTTTCAATCATAGTATTTGGAACTTGCAACTCCTTACTAGGGGCGGAGTCAGGATTTGTTGGTGCGGGGTCGATCGAGCTAGTTTATTGTCACTCCCGACAGGATACAGTCACCACTGCTCGTAGCCGGTAGCTCGAGTTCACTGCGGTTGCCGTTGTGAGTCGTCCACTGAGGAAACCAAAGAGAGGATTTAGCTCGAGTTCATCGCGATTGTTGTGACTTGTGAAGATGATGAATCCATCTCCAATGAAGAATAATTCATAAAAAACATTCAAGGATTTAAAGAATAAAAAAGAAATGGAAAATTATCTTTATACTTGCAAGTAGAAAATTGAAGAGAATCCATTGTCTGGAATGTCTGCGTACTGTGTTTGCGTTTTTTGTTTGCAGATTAGGAATTTGGATGGTTTGTGTATTATACTTACCCTGGAAGCTTTCTTTTAAGGGGGGGAGGGGGGAAGAATATTTAGGTGATGGTCTGGGGGCCACACAATGACACAATACCTACTAAGCCTATTATAATACTAATAATTTTTTTTTTTGAGGGGGGCAAGCCCTAATACCCATGTTGTGCAGCCTGTGATGCTCTATACTAACACAAAAAAAAATTGTTTTTGGGAGTGGGGGGGGGGGGGGGGGGGGGGGGGGAAGGGGGTAAGGCCCCTCCTACTATAAGGTGGCTCCGCCACTGCTCCTTACCCTGGTAGATTAGAGAATCACACTCTCTTAGAGAAACCCATTGAGGGGATTTTGTTTTTCTTCAATTTTTTCAGGTAAAAAAGCTTAGGTGGCCGGAGGAGAGAAGGAGAGGAAAAACTCACCATGTCCTACAAATTCAAGTATTTTTATAGCTTTTGATGATCTTAAAAAAAATGTGGCTCATATCACGTTTGACACATATATGCGCCACGTGCAGGGGCGGAGCCACTATGGGAATAGTGGAGCAGTTTCCCCCTCAGCTCCCTACCCCTTTATATATGTATGTATGTATATACATATATATAGTATTAAATGTCATATAAAACATATATTTATGTTAATATTGCCAATAGTTTAAGTAGTTTAGTTGGTTAAATTTCAAATTTAATGTTAATATAAAAGGCTTATATCATAAGTTTAAATGTCATTAGCAACACTTTTTCTTATCCTATCTCATTTATTTTATCTCTTTCATTTCTTCACAAGATAAATTAAATATTTTTTAGTCTACTTTTTGTGAATCATTTAATTAACAAATTAAATGCTCTTTTAGTATATTTTTTATGAATCATTTAATTAATGTAGTATACAAGTTTATATTATACTTTATTGTATTCGAATTAATTTAGAAAACCGATTTAAGTAAAAGAAATTAAAATTAAAAAGTATTTCTGAATATAGTGTTATTCAAATTATTTTATCTAATTGATTATGTTTCATATTTTGTCATAAATATTTTTACATTTTCACTCCACTTAGGTATATTTTATACTCCGACCCTAACTATCATGTAATCTATTAAAAACATTTTATTGTAATTTATAATGTATTTTGTATTTTAACTTTATTATGTCGGTTTGATATTTTGTCATTGACATTTCTAACGTAATTTAATATTCGACCTCACTCAAATGATTTTCTGGATCCGCCCTTGGCCACGCGGGTGCATCACCTATGCTAACATGCTTTTTCCTTTTCTCTTTCCTTTCTTTCTCAATCCACCATCCTTGTTGGCTTGGCAAAAAAAAACTCAATGTGGACTTTTACCATTGAGCTTGCTCTTACTAGATCTTGGAGTTTGAGTGTATCCATACCCAAATAATCAAAGAGAGTAAAGAAAATTGACAAGCTACATTAGAGGGGAGAATAACATAAAAAGACAATTATAACCCTAAAAAAAGATTGAAATGGGAAAAACTAATCAAAGACCTTCGGGCATAAGATTTTAAATTTTGAAGGACTAATGGTGTTTAACTTGAAAGTTAAGGACCAAATGTGACAATATTACTATACTCAGAGCACCCCAACGTAACTGACATTAACTCAAGATTAAAAACACAGCACAATTATTGAAACACAATTTACAAATGATTTATTATCATAATATATACACAATCAGTTACTATACAAAATTATTACAAATAATTATTATCTCACTGTCATGCACGACTTAACACTCATATAAAATGAAAATTGTCATAAGACAAGTTTTATTTGGTGCGCATCATCAAATAGTGATAGTAGAATTTCCTCATCACTCAAAGTGAAAATTCTTTAACTATCAAAGTTCTTATTATTTGTAATCGGAAGTGCATGTCATATGATGTACCATGCTTATATCTTGGATCAAAGTTCAAGTAGTAAAATGAGCGCAGCTCTTAATTTTTTTTTTTTTTAATACATTACAAGTTTATTTTTAGTGTATTACAGAGTATAATTAAATTTAATTTACAATATACTAAAAATATAATTTAATGGTAAAGTAGAGTTGGGCACTCTTGCCCAAATTTTTTAATGACTTGGGCCGCATAGAACATAACCCTATAAATAAAGGTGTTAGTGAATAGAGCTTTCAGTAATTTTTTTTTTTTTTTTTTTCGGTAGACATTCATTTATGTTTGTTTATTAAGGTAAACAAACATAAATGAACAAATTTTAGAACTCGATTCATAAACGAACAAAGTTTGAACTATTGTAGGCTCAGCTTATTTGTTAAGAGCTCGTGAACATTTGTGTCCTTTAAAAATGTTTAAGAACAAGCTCGTCTACCGTTTGTTTAATAGTGTTTACGAGCATGTTCATGAACAAGCAATTAAGCGCGCATGCGCACACACACATATATATAGTTATTATGTTGTTCTTTTGGTTATTGTTTGTAAACATAGTTTTTTTTTTTTTTCATGAATGAATTATAATCATGAACATGTGCATGCATTTGGTTATTAAGCACCGATGAACATGAACGAACATGTTCATGAACATAGATTATTTTTTGTTCTGTTGTGTTGTTTGTTTGGTTATTGTTTGTAAACATAGGTTATTATTTTTTGTTCAGGAATGAATTGTGATAATAAACATGTATATGTGTTTAGTTAGAACTAATTTCACTTTTGGTCCTACGACTTTAGAGGTTCTATCATTTTTGGTGCACAACTTTAAATTTTTTCAATTTTGGTGTCTAACTTTGTTATTTTTATCAATTTTGGTCCTTTCGACCAAATTGACTGCGAAATATTGCCGGATTTTACATTTTAGTGGCAAAATCGTCATCCCAAGGAAAGATATTCAATATCTAAACAAAAGAAAAATCATGTTAAGAGAAATATAAGAGTTTGGCAACCGTCGATGCTATAAATCTCATAGATCTGTGTCTAGTTTTTGTCCGTCTTCCCAATTATTCTCATCGATCAAACACCTATAGATATGATTTTAGAGTGATTTTGTTTAGATATTGAAGATGTTTCCTTGGGATGACGATTTTACCCCTAAAAATATAAAATCCGACAATATTTCGTCGTCAATTTGGTTGAAAGGACCAAAATTGATAAAAACAACAAAGTTAGGCACCAAAATTGAAAATTTTTAAAGTTGTGCACCAAAAGTGATAGATCCTCTAAAGTCGTGGGACCAAAAGTGAAATTAATTCTGTTTAGTTATTAGACACGGATAAACTTCATTAACAAACACTAATAAACGTTTAACAAAAGAACATGAACATACTAATGTCTAGAAAGGAACATGAACATACTGAATAATTTTTAAAAATCTTAACTAACGAACACAAACACAAATACTTTAAAAATCTTAACAAACAAACATGATCAACTCCCCTTCATTCATGTTCAATTAGTTAACAGCACTACCCATAAATATTAATTATTGAACACTGCCTTTCTTGTTCTTTACTTAGCAGTAGTTGTTCTGTTTGAGATTTCCCATTATTATTATTAATTAATTCTGAGCATCTACCCACTGCTACCCAACTACAGATCGATACACAAGCAACCTTCAGACCAGATTATTCATGTTTGGAAAACAAAGAAGACGACAAGAATGGTAAGGGTTACGAAAAGATAAGGATTAATTAAGGAGCATCATATCATATCGTTAATTAAGTAGTACCCATCGCGACACCCAAACAGCAGCGGCTAACCTTGACCTTCCAAGCGCCGCTAATCTGATGCACCGTCTTGGCAACCTCCAACGCCGCCGTCTCTTTGTTCGCCGGCGAAAGCAACACCACCCGGGCAGTCCCGCAGAGCTCGTCGTATATCCTCTCAAACTCCATCAATACTTCGCTCAACAATTCTGCTCGGTTTTTCCCGGCCAGAATCTTCAACACAGCTCCCAACAGCTTGTGGACTTTCCCCTTTTCCGCAATCTCCTTGAGGATTTCTCCTTTCTCCTTGTTTTCTACCAGAGGGTCCGTCAGGGCGGCCCTGAGCTGCTCGTTTCTCGTCCACTTCCACACCCTCCTCACGTCCCTCCGCACCGCGTCCAGCGAGTTATTGCGTTTCGCTATGTCCACCAGCGCCGCCGCGTACCCGCTGGCAGCTCTCCGGTGGACCGCCGCTGCCGGGGGCTGGGGATGTGGCTTGGCTGGCGGGATCCGATTGGAGGGAACTGTGGCGGTGGCGGTGAAGAATTCCGAGTTGGTGGCGGTGGTGGACTTGAAATAGGAGAAGGAATTTCGTCGGGGTGGGAGGAGGTGGAAATGGCGATAGGCATCGACGGACTTTCTTCTGGAAGCGGTGGGGACTGTGAAGGAGGAGACGGGATTCGACAAGGTATCCATTGGTTCCCTGTGAACCACAAAGATTGGAGAAGATGAGAGGCTGCGCTATAACTCGTTTTTTTTTTTTTTTTTTTTTTTTTTTTTTTTTTTTTTTTTTAATTAAATAAACCCAATTCCGGCAGAATAATCCTAAATTTATGTATTCCTACGGAGATAAATCACGAATTGCTTGAATTGCTCAATCATTCCATCGATTAAATAGATTAGAGATGATTCCAGTTTTTCATTTAGAAAACCATTTTTAAAAATTTTTCAATTCTCTAAAAAATTAAAAAATTATTTCTAGTTTTCAAAATGAAAAACTGTACTAGTAAACATGTTTTCTGTTTTCTATTTTTTAATTTTTTAATTTTTCAAAAAATTGAAAAAATTCTCCTATTAATAAATAGACCTAATCTTTTAATTCTAAATAAATCACTTCAATTGTTCTTTGTAAAAATGCCCTGCAGAGCTTTATAATTGTGGATTTGAGGGCAAAAATGAACTTGAACTGACAACTTGAGCCGAATTGAAGCTGATCACTTAAACTGACATGAATTGTTGAATTATGAGTATCCTGTTATAAATAGATTTATGATGGATATTAATAATAGTTTTATAATGTCGGTAACGGATGTAATGATTCTTCATTGTTGTATGTCTTTATTGTACCTTGTATATATATTATTGTACTATGATGAATATGAATAAGAGATCACTCCCACACTTGTTTTTATCCATATTATTGTACTATGATGAATATGAATAAGAGATCACTCCCACACTTGTTTTTATCCTTCTCATCTTGTCTCTATTATTTTACCTTATGTTATTTTACAATATACTGTTCATATACATCTATCATTTCATCAAGAATTGCTACCAGCTAATAGGAAAATTATTCTCAATATATCCAACCCATATACTATTATCACATTGTTATTTCCAAAATTTTAAATTTTGTTATTATGACATTTTGGGTCATTATTACAACAACAAGCTATCATTATATTTAAATACGATGAGAATATAATTGTGTTGTATTCAATAATAATGTCTGAGAGTACAGTGAGCGAATATATAGAGATGCTAGATAGAATTTTAGTCTAACACGAATAATATAGTCCTAGTCTAATATGAATAATAGAGTCCTAATACTCCCCCTCAAGCACAAGTATGGTCAGCCAAAACATTGAGCTTGGAACGGAGTAAATTAAAACGTACAGACGAAAGAGACTTAGTAAAAATATCCGCTATCTGATCTTTGGTAGAAATAAAATTGACTTGTAATTCATTCTTTGCTACTTTATCGCGAACAAAGTGGTAGTCTATCTCAATATTTTTGGTGCGAGCATGAAACACCGGATTAACACATAGATAAGTAGCACCCAGATCATCACACCAGAGTTTGGGCGCAGAAGGTGGCGCAAACCCGAGTTCCTTCATCAAAGATACGAGCCAAGTAACCTCTGCAGAAACATCAGCAAGTCCTTTGTATTCTGCCTCAGTTGAGGAACGAGCCACAGTACGCTGTTTTTGACAAACCCAAGAGACAAGATTGGTCCCCAAAAACACAGCAAAACCACTGGTAGATTTTCGATCATCAGGATTGCCAGCCCAATCGGAATCAGAATAAGCATGAATATCCAGAGAGGGAGAGGAAGTAATTTTAAGACTGAGATGTAGTGTCCCATTTACATACCGTAACACCCTCTTGAGAGCCGCCCAATCTGCAGTGGAGGGAGAGTGCATGTGCTGACACAAACGATTGACTGCATAGGAAATATCAGGACGAGTTACCGTAAGATATTGTAGAGCACCTGCAAAGCTGCGATACTAAGTGGGATCAGCATATGGCACCACGACACCAGTCTCGCCCTTCGCAGTTGAAACCGGAGTGGCCACGGGCTTGCAATCAACCATACCTGCCCGTTTTAAAATATCCTTCATGTACCGTTGTTGAGACAGAAGCATGTCACAAGACAACGGAATAGTCTCAATACCCAGGAAAAAAAAGGGCACTCCCATATCACGAACTTTAAATTCAAGAGCCAACTTGTTAATAAGATCAGTCACATGAGCCGAATTAGAACCCATAACCAAAATATCATCCACATAAACCAGAAAATATAGACGAGTATTGCCATGTGAATATATAAATAAAGATATATCAGTCTTGGAAGGTGAGAAACCAACAGAAACCAGAAAATCATGCAAACGTGTGAACCAAGCACGGGGAGATTGCTTAAGCCCATACAAAGAACGTTGAAGGAGACAAACGTGCCCGGGCATCGTTTTGTCTTCATAGCCAAGGGGCTGGCGCATATAAACTGTCTCAGCGAGATTGCCGTTTAGGAAAGCATTGTGTATGTCTAGTTGTCGAATAGTCCATCCAGGAGAAATAACTAGGGATAAGAGAAGACATATCGTAGTCGGTTTAACAACGGGACTAAAGGTCTCAAAGAAACCCTCACCGACAATCTGATTGAATCCCTTGGCAACTAACCGAGCCTTGTAACGCTCAATCGAACCATCAGCATTTCTCTTGGTTCTAAACACCCACTTACATCTAAAGACATTCATACCTGATTTAAAGGGAACAAGCCTCCATGTATTGTTGTGCACCAAGGCATTAAATTCCAAATCCATTGCATCCCGCCATTCAGGAAATTTAACCGCTTGAGTAAAACATGTAGGCTCATGAGTAACAGCAGCAACAGATAAAGCAACATGATCATGTGGTCCCGAACTTCTCGTATTCATTCCATGAGAGCGAACGGGTGAGGGCGCGGGACGAGACCGACCACGAGGCCGGCCTCTTGGCCGAAGAGCCAGCTAGTCCGTGACTGTCCGCTCGGACTCGGTCACGGGCTCCGCAGTAGCAGGGTGCTGGCGGTGGTGGTCAAAAGTGGCTATGGGCGCGGCAGGAGGGTCACGAGCCGTGACAATAGTCGGATCACCACCAGAAACAATTGGTTCAACACCCCACGACTCCGGGCTTGGTTTTGGAACCTGCGAATCCACAGAAGCAACAAAAGGAAAGACAGCCTCATCGAATCGCACATGGTGACAGATAAAAACCTTGTTAGTGTTAGTGTCTAAACAACGATAGCCACGAAAAGATGGAGGATATCCTAGAAAGACACAAGGGGATGACCGAAACTGTAGTTTGTTGCGATTATAGGGACGCAAATTTGGAAAGCATAAACACCCAAAAACACGCAGATATGAATAAGATGGAGGAGACCGATGCAAAAGATAATGAGGAGATTTATCAGATAAGACAGGAGTGGCATTTTATTAATTAGATAAACCGCAGTTTCAAAAGCATAATCCCCAAAATGAGACGGAACAGAAGATTGAGCCATTAATGCTAGTCCTGTTTCAACAACATGCCTATGCTTACGTTCTACCCTGCCATTTTTTTCATGAGTATACGCACAAGATTGCATGTGACGAATACTTAAGGACGCTGGAGTGGAACCAAGCTTTTTATATTCTCCCCCTAAATCAGATTGAAAAGAAATAATCTTGCGAGAAAAGGAACGTTCAACTAGTGACCGAAACTTATCAAATATAACATACAAATCAGATTTAGCACGCATGGGATAATACCACATATAATGAGTGTAATCATCCACAAACAACACAAAATATTTAAAGCCAGACGCAAAAAGTAATGGCGCAGGGCCCCAAATATCTGAATAAATTAAATCCAAAGGATGCATACTAGTAGTTTCGACACGAGACAAAGAAAAACGAGAAGATTTTCCTAATTGACAAGAGGAACAGATATTGGGAAGATCACTAGAATTAAATGTACCAACAGACGAAGATGCTAAAATTTTACGTAAGACTCGAGAATGAGGATGCCCCAACCGCATGTGCCAAACGTAAGAGGACCGTGCAGCAACAAATGCAACAGGGGAAGCAGAAGACGCAGGCCATGTGTAGAGACCCCCAGATGCATATCCCTTAAAAAGAACCTTCTTGGTCAAAATGTCTTTCACATAGAAACAAAGAGTGTGAAACTCAAAGAAAACATTATTGTCCTTTGCAAAACGCTGGACAGATAATAGAAAAGAAGAGAGACCAGGAACATGCAAAACATCATGTAACTTAAAAGACATAGAATCAGTAGCTAACGAAGCAGAACCAACATTAACAATAGGCAAACCTGTACCATTGCCGACTCGCAGAGTCTCCGGGCCATCATAACTTGTCGCAGAAGTCATCAAAGAAGAATCAGGCGTAGCATGATTTGTAGCACCAGTGTCAGGGAACCACTGATGAGGACCGTTGGAATCACCATTATCACCAGAGACGGCCACATTAGCCTGAAAACCCGGAGCCCCTGAATAACGCCGAAAACAGTTGGCTCCCGTTTGACCAAAACAGTTACAAATTTGACACGGATCATCATAACGCCAAAAAGAATTGGCTCCCGTGTGACCGAAACCTTTACAAATTTGGCACGGATCATCAATGTCACGTCGTTGACCGGACCACTCTCATACGATGTATCTTGGTTCGATGCCATCGGCTACTGCTACGAAGTGAGGAACATGGATGTTGGAAAAGAAAACCCTAGCTAACTGATACCCGATGAGAATATAATTGTGTTGTATTCAATAATAATGTCTGAAAGTACAGAGATCGAATATATAGAGATGCTAGATAGAATCCTAGTCTAATACGAATAATATAGTCCTAGTCTAATATGAATAATAGAATCCTAATAAATACAATATTGAAAATGGATTCACGAGTCACCATAAAATTTGCGGTAGGGGACACAAGATGTGAAGATAGAGCTGTATCCTTGTCCACACAAAGTAATATAAAATAGAAAAGTAAAAGGAAAGGAAAATATCAGCAAACATGACGGATATTGGTTATTTGGTAGATAGAAATGCACAGCTTTTTAGTGATTTAATAAAAGTTTATAAAGTTATTATTATATTTGATGTGTCACATCTAGTAAATAAAAATTATGACTCTAATGCAAGGGAGCTCACCATATTCGGCAAATTATGCTGTGCATCCGTGCATGGTGCATACGGATGCAAAAACGACGTCGTCTTATTAAA